AAAATTAATTCTAAACCAAATTTCGGGCATAAATATTACATTAAATCTATGTGTATGTGATTATATAAGTTGGTCACTAACAATTAAATGGGTGTGTTTGGATAAGCTTTTTAATTTTAAAAAATATAGTTACAACTAAATGTATATAATATAAAGAATTTTTGGTGACAAATAAGTTCAAAATCTATTTTGATAGGTTGAAAATAAAACTAATAATGTATAGTTAAAATTTTAAGAGTAAGCTACACTAAATATCTGATTTTTTTTAAAAATAATAATATTTTATTCTATTATTTTTATTAAATTTATTTTTAATAAATAATTATTTTAAGAATATTTTTAAATCTTACAATACAAATTATAATAGTCCCAAATACCTATTAGATTTAAATTATTTCATTCTTATTTAGAATTTTGGCTAAATTTATTTAGAATTTTTTTAGAAAATATATAAAGGTTTATAACTTATCCAATATTTCATATTGTTAAGATTAAGATTTAATTAGTGTTCTTAATGTGATGGGCCTAAGATGATTTGTGTTTGTTTCTTCCTCTTAAAGCCCAATTTTTTTAATATATATTTTGTTGACCCAAATATTTCTTTATTAAAATTTAAAAAACAAAATTGACATAATTATTTATAATAATTTAACACATATAATTATATTTTTTGTATAATATATATATATATATTCTTATATATCATCAACTATCACTATATTTGAAACCTCCACTTATTCTTTCATTTAATTGTAGAAGAATGTGAATTCAAAACATATATGCAATTTCATAAGTCTTTGTTAAGAGATTATAGTATAATTAATGTATGTGTATTACTTAATTTATGAATATATATTATAAAATATTGTGAATTTGAATTAAATATGCATCTCTATATGTTTTTTTATTAGGAGATTATATTGTGATTGATGTGTATAATATTATTTAGTTAGTAAAATATCTAAAATTTTATTAAAAATTTTATATTTTATTTTATTTTATTTTAAAATTTTCTGTCCTATTATTCCTAAAAACATTAAATTATAATAATATTTATTTTTTAATATAAATTAATCGCTAAAATTTTAGTAAAAATCGAACTGTTTCTCTGTTTTTTTTTATAAATTTAAAATATATTAATAATTATTTATTAAAATAAAATTGTACATACATTTTTATTATAAAAACTAATTGTACCATCAATTGGCATTTATATATATATATATATTAGTCATATAGAGACATTAGAGGAATGTTCAATTTTAATCTTTAATAATACAAAGGTTGCTCATGTCTTGATTACTACTATGTTTTTTTTTTGTCACATGTCTCTATACCTTTGCCTTTTTTTTTTTTTTGCCACTATGATGTCATGGATTGCGATTGATCTCATATATTTTGTACATAAATTGTATAAATTAAAGTAAGTTATTAATTAATTATTGGGATAGAAAAGAAGATGTGGGAGGCTCAAATTTTTATGGAGAATAAATAATTCAATAATATCATTGAAATATACTACTCAATTATTTAAAATTAATAATTTTCTTAATTAATTAGACTAGCTAGCTAGTCAACATTATTATATATATATATATATACACACACATATAGTATGTAATAAATTTAAATTTCTTGTAGCAAAAGTCTCAATCTTTATATCTTTTTAACTCTCGAAAATTAAAAAAATAATACAATTAAATTTTAAAAAAAGATATGTAAGAAAATATAATATGAGTGGAACGGGTTATTTTTAATTAAATTATGAAAGTATAAATTAATTTGACGTGCCAAATTTCGTCCCAAAATATTTTGATTATAAAAAACTTAGATAAATGGGTATTGGAAAATACTTTTGATCATGGTATACAATATTGGTTCGAGATTAGATTTTAATATATAGTTATGATATAAATTAATCATTCATGTGGAGCTCATGAATGATCACCACCACCAACTAGTCCGTCCCCCCCCCCCCCTCAAATCCTTGAAAATCTAATTAATCTCTAAAGATTTTTGTGTGTTTAGAGAATATTCCTAACTTGTATGCATGAACCTATTATATCTATATCTACGTATATATATATATATATATAATTTAATTAATTAATTTAGTTTGCTGCTATTAGGGGGATGAATTTGGTTGCCGGACCTTAAGAAAACTATTCTTGTCCTAATTAAAAATTTAGTCTAATTTTGGACCGTTAATTATACAATCCCTAATTAAAAGTTTGTGCTTATGATACAATATGGTACTTGAGTTAAATTGATTTTTTTTTTTATTATTTAAAAATTTTAAAAATATTATAATTAATTTAATTAAAAAATAAATAATATAATAAATTCATTATTGAAACTTATTTTATTTAACTTAAATTACTATTAATTTCATTAAGTTAATTTCTAATCCTAATGGTACAACAATTTTGTTGACATGCAAAATTATTTTAATTTATATGACCCAGCTGTCTCCTTTGTTAAGAACTAGCTATAATTACATGCTCCATCAATGGCTTTAATTATTATTTAAAACCCACAAAAACCCACCACTGTATGATTATTATTTAATAAATTGTAATTAAAATTTTAAGAGTATATTATACGAAAGAATAAGTAAAGTCATCATACGTATATGTGTGTGTATATATATATATATATATATATATATATATAAACTTTAATATATTCGAAATGACTGTTGAATCTCAAATAATAATAATAATAATACTAATAATAAATTACTATTTTAGTTTCTAAAACTATTTGAACATATTAATTGTAATATAATTTTTTTTTCTAAATTTATAAAGTTATTTCTATTTGTAATATTTTTACATTATCTCTTATTAGTTATTGATTATTAACAAGTGGATGGATTAACGAAGCTTCATTTACATCATCTTTAATTTTTTTCATTAATCAAGTTTTTTAATTAATTAACATTGATAATAAGAATTGACCCTGCAAAAGTATATATGTATGTCGTGTTGGCAATTTACTTTGACTTTCCAACTCAAGTGAATCCATGGCTGGAAGATTATATAATTTAATGCAAACATATTATATATACATACATATATATATATATATATATGTATGTATACATATAACAGAAGAGAGTTGCCTCCAACGACAAAACTGGCCAGCTTTTAAGGGACCATAAGGAATCCTATCATTAGCTAGCAATTATTATTATTATAATTGCTAATTAAAAAAATAAGATTAAGAGCAGAAGCTTATATATATGTATATATATATATGTGTACATATAACATTATTGTCGCTGGTATTATATTAATAAACCAAAATTTAACATATAATTACTTAAGTTAATTACTTTTGTCAATGCAAAAGCAAATTGAACCTTATAATAATTAAAAAATATATATGATATTAAATAAGAAAGGTGGTGGGCATTTTAATTATTGCAAACACACCATACATACCTACATATATAATAATTAAAAACACCATATGTACGTACATACATCATATATATACAAGCTTTTTTTCTGATCATCATCCCCAATCATGAATCTCCCCCGTTTAGCTACAAATTCTTTGTTCTCTTTATTTCTTTTGTATGATCTGGCTCATCATATATTTATATAAATATCTATATATCTATATATGTAAGCACGTTTGCTTGGTTTACAAGTTGCTTTCGAGTGCTTTCTTAGTAGGAGTGAAGCTCTCGAGGGATCATTTAGTTGAATTCTGTAATCAGAATTCTTTATCAGTTGAATTTTCTGAAGAAGAAGAAGAAGAAGAAAAAGAAGAAGAAGAAAGAGGAGGAAAATGGGAAGACAGCCTTGTTGCGATAAGATCGGGTTGAAGAGAGGTCCATGGACGATTGAGGAAGATCATAAGCTCATGAACTTTATACTCAACAATGGTATTCAGTGCTGGAGAACCGTTCCTAAGCTTGCAGGTATTCTTACAATATCATGCATAAATGTATACATATTTATATATGCATTACATAAGATCATTAGGTAGCATTTAACGTTTAGTTTTTCTTATGTTTCTTGTTTTTGATTCTCACATGTACATATACATACACATGTTACATTATATGTAAGTGTAATACACGTACATATATGCATACACATACATACATGTAAATATTTGTTTCTATTTGTGGGGGTAAACACATATTTTTTCTGTAAAAATTTATATATTTTAATAATTGAATAACATTTATACACAAATAATAATAAAATAATTAAATTTTTTAACAGAATACATAGATAAAAACACAATATGACTTAAACTTACATTTTTATATTAAGATTAAAATATTTATTTTGTACATATATATAGTGATAAACTTACATTTGTATTAAATTTTATATGAAAGTTTTATATATTTGTTTTGTATGTTTATATGGTGATGAAGGTTTGTTAAGATGTGGGAAAAGTTGTAGATTAAGATGGATTAACTATTTGAGGCCCGACCTTAAGAGAGGTGGATTCATGGAGTCCGAAGAGAATCAAATTATCGAACTTCACTCTCGTCTTGGAAACCGGTAAATTAAATACACACACATATATATGTATACAAATTGAATTAAAGAAAAGATGATATAAGATTGAAGTGACTAAAAATAGAATTAATTGTGTAAACTTGAATATATAGGTGGTCGAAGATTGCATCACATTTTCCAGGACGAACAGACAACGAAATCAAGAACCATTGGAATACTCGAATCAAGAAGAAACTAAAGCTTCTGGGTTTAGATCCTGTAACCCACAAACCCATCACGGATCGTGATGATGAGGCTGATCATGCACAAAAAGAGACATTACAGGAAATCAGAACCAGTAACAAGAAGATGAAAGAAGAGGAAGAAGAAGATGATCAAGGAATGAAATATTTTATTGAAGAAGAGAGTTTTGATTTTGAGCAGTGGTTGATCAGTACTTCGCGTGATTCAAACCAATGTAATAGTTCCTTGGAAGATCATAATACGACGTCGTCTATAAGCAGCATTACAGATCAATCAATGGCGTCTCTGCAAGAAGAATTCTCTCTGAAACAATGGGTTGATGCTGTTGATTCTTTC